GCTTGTGATGAATCTGGAAATGCGATGAGTACGATGAAGATCTGGTAGAACCCGGATCTGGAAGACTGACCGAAGAACTGACGATTATTGATGAGTCTTAGCATTTTTCTGGAGATTTGTTAAGGATTGATGATGATCAGATGAAGATCTTGGATTTTCTGGATATTCCAGATGAAGATCTGAAACTTCCGCAAGGATCTTGATGATGAATAATTGAATCTGGACCGAATCTGGAGATCGATGACGAAGGTTGTTGTGAGGACATTCTTGAAGAAAGTTCGTTGAAGATCTGATCATATATGCATGTGAATCTGGAGGATTACGAAGAACGTGAGGGTGAATATTCGTAAGAATCTTGATGAATATTAGTGGTTGATGTTTGCTGAAGATCCAGAATGCATGTTCGTGGATGAAGATCCTTGATGAAGCGATGATCAATTTCTGGAAAAAGTACTGGAGGATTTGTGAAGATCGGGGATGATCGTTGATGACCGGAGAAAGATGAACAAGGTTGAGGAATCTGGGAAATGGATGAACACTGGTGATGAGGAAGATGAAGATTGAAGATTTTCTGGGTATTTGCAGTTTTCCGGCGGTAGTTACGGCGGCCGGAGACGGTTGTAGGGTAGTTAGGGTGGCCGGAAACTGGAGGTTAGGGTGGTCGGAATCTGGTGGGGCGGTGGTTGCATGGCCGCCGGCCATGCAACTGGTGATGGTTGGCGTCAGACAAGTGGCACGGTGAAGGCTTGCATGTGAAACACGTGTTATGGGAGAGAGAATGGAGTTACGCGTGGCTGGTTCTGAGTATTGGTGGAAATGAGGTGGGGTCCTGAAGCTTGAACGCGTGGCTGACTTATATAGCTGACACTTGGCACATTCTGGACTGAAATGGGACAAAAAATGGACTGATGGATTTACTGGGCCTCCAAAAACCAACCTGGGCCCAAACGAAAATGGCATTAATAAACCCAAAAGAAATCTGAATTCAAAATGGATTAATCCTAATTGAAAACTAATCAAAGATTAAACCTAATTAACTAGTAATTAAAACTACAATTAAATCTAAATGAAAATTGAACTAATCTAATCCTAATTAAATCTAACAAACTCTAATTAAAAGATTAAAATCCTAATTAAATCTAAAAGATGATTAAAATCTAATTAAACCTATATTAAACTAAAACTAATAAAACTCTAATAACCTCTATTTAAAAAATCTATTAAAACTCTACTAATTCTAATAAAATCTATATTATTTATTTAAAACTATTAAAAAAGCTATTAACCTATTAAAAACTCTATAAAATCCTAAAAAAATGATTTAAAGCTATTAAAAATATAAAAAAAATCTATTTAAATTCTAAAAAATCTATAAAGCCTATTTAAAAATCCACAAGAGGCTATTAAATCCTAAAAAAAATGCAGACAAATGCAAATAACCAATATAAAAAAATAGCACGAGACCAGATCGAAGCAAACGGTAACCCGGACACCAAAAATCTCAAAAATCACTGCATAAACTGAAAACACCCAGGAAGCGCGCGACTTCCCAAAATAACCTCCGATTATCCAAACCGGTCTGAAACACCTGAAAAGCGACAGCAGGGCTGTGATCCCGATAAAATCACCATGATTGAAGAAATGCGCTATATGCAGTATGCAAATGCGAATGCGAAATGCGCCGAAGCATAAACCGAAAGTGGCACCGGTTGGTCAAATTTTAGGGTGCAACAGTACCACATGCATTGAGTTGTGTCGCATTGAATTTATGAGTCTTTTTGTATAAATTATGACGTTGTAGCCTTTGAGGCATATTTGAAGGATATCAATGTGTTGAATATAATTATGAGTAATATTCCATTTATGCATTAATTGTTATACATTGTTATTATGAATTGTTTTACTCACCCTGCCTGTTTGAATGTTACCTCCACGTGGGTAACGTGCAGATGAGCAAGTTTAGCCGTGGACGTCGTCGAGGAGTATTTTGAAGTTTTAGAGTCGTTAGCCTTTATGGTTAATTTAGAGGGTCTTGCTCTGATATGTAACATCGGGTTGGGTTCTTTGAGTTGATTTTATATCATTGGATTATTTTACTGATGTTCCCTTATGAGAAAAACAGTGAGTTATGTTTTGAGTTCTGCTGTGTATGATGTTTTGAAGTATTTTGAGAAAACCCATGTGTTACGGAGCATTGACTTATTTTGAGACATTGAGAAATGTACGCCCTTTTGTGGCTTTTTATGAAAGTTAATATTTTACTCTGAAATCCGTGTTATTTTGTCGTAATATCTGTGGGGTAGAATAAGGGTGTTACACGTGAGGTGCTAGTACCTTCCTCTCGCATAATCGACCTCCTTACCCGTTTCTCTTCCCTTTGGGTTTTATCGATATTATCCATGTCCTTTGGGACTAACTAAAGTTCGGTTGCGACTCTGTTGTATCTTTGAGTGTGCGATTCACTCAGGTATAACCCCACTAGCTTCACCCGTCTCTGTGCTTTCTCCACGTGCCCTTTCAGAAAGAAACCTACAAGTAGTTATTAGTATTCAAATGTAACACTGCACACTAAAATAACCACCTTCTCAACCAATTTGACATTGTCGTACATATTACATGATCGATATTATCACGCGATCGAAGTATTCCTTGCAGTATCCAAACAAACACTAAGTCCACATCCTAGTCGAACCAGGGCACTTTTGTATACATCGTCTATATACCTTCACCTCTACCCTTTTTTGCTGAGGTTTTTTCCTTGTCGAAAATCCCAGCTAACAAATGGTATCAGAGCAAACCACTCCTAATACAAATGGTATCAAAGCAAACCACTCCTAGTAGGATATGGTTCGAGGACGAACCAAACAGAAGCTGGCGAGGATGTAACACTCGAAGCTGAAAAGGTCGGGGAATGGTTGTAACACCTGAGGTCAAAGAGGTCGGGGAGTGGTCACTCAAATTGACATCGAAATGAGAGGATCCTAAGGCTGCGTAAGTATGAGACTGCATGGTTAAAGGAATACTTATAAGGATTTATTGGTACTACCTATACCAAGAAGATGCATATTCTTTTCGATAGCATAACAAATAAGAACTCCATAGTTAATCGTGCTTGATTTGTAGTTTCTGGATGGGTGACCTTTTGGAAAGTTTCTTAGAAAGCATGTGAGTGAGGACAAAATATTTAAAGTAGTATGGGGCGTTACATGGACCTTAAAGGAGTCTACTCTCAAATTTATAATTGTATGTCATCCTATAATGTAATTGTATATTGATTTTTAGTCAGCCATTATAAATTGGACTTTAACTTTCTTCCAAATTTCTTCCTCTATGAATGTGATGACAAGTTTGTCATGTCCCTAAGGTATGATGTAAGGTTAGTCCCTTGTAAACCATATTGGCACACGAGACTAGATTCTTTTCAGCCAGTTGTAGGGTGAGGAACATATCAAAGTACATGATGTCGTAGAAGTTGCCTTGGTTGATGACATCTCTCTTTACTTATAAATGTTTCATACATAATCATACTAGAAAATGGAATTGATGATTTCGTGTCCCCACACTATGCCATATCCATAAAAGGATATAAAGGAATGAGTGACAAGGTTAAAGTCTTTCATGCTAATTAGTGAGTGGTAGGTGGTGTTTAGTAACTGCTTACACTATTTCTTTGTTGAGTAATGCTGGTGAGGAACTTTTTTGACAACGTGATCGAGGCATTTAAATTCTCCCACATGCTCATCTTGGAGACGATATGTATCATATAATTGGGAGGATGGACCTTAAATTTGTCCCCACCATGACCTGAAGTGTTTCTTATGGACTTTTTTTCTTTATTTTCATGTGTGCCACCACACAAATTTTCTTATAAGGGTGTGATGGAATGGAATTGTACCATTAACCTTTAGAAGAACCTCCCCCTTTTGTTGGTAAATTGTTTTAACTTCCTTTTTTGTATGAGTATATCAATGACATCCTTCCTATGAACGTATTTTTTGTTGTTGTGGCTTGTTTTTGTGGAACTCTTAGTATTTAGTTTTGTTGACCCTATAATACACTTGAATAAGATTGGAGAGTTAGATGAGTCCTTATTTGAATCCAACGCTCCCACATCCTTTGAAGGTGACACCCAACCGAGGCTATGAGTCGGGGTATAATGGTCGAATCTTCCTAGGCGGCCTTTGAAGCCTTTCTCTATATTTTTTGTTCTCCTTGCAATATAGATTGTGTATCAAATTCCTAAAAAAGTCCATTTGGGATTAATCTTTTTCTAGTCGTTGATCAACCTCACTTGTTTGCTTCTCCTTATTTTTCTTTTATACGCCGAATTTTTCCTCATACTTTTTGTATGCTTAAGCCTTAACTAGCATGTCTTTCAAACTTCTTAACGATCTAGACCAATTTATTTAGTGAAGAGGCTTACGAGAAGAAGACCCAACACCAATAGATAAATATTCATTTAGTTGTCAATTTCTTTGACCAGGATAATTTCTTTTTTAAAGCACTCAATCTAGAAGGGCTCCTATAATAGATAATGTAATGCAATAATAACAATACAAATACAAGATAAATTAAGTAGACTCCCCAACTTTTACTCAATATCTTATACATTCTGCATATGTTGTTTCTCATTCTCTCACATTTTAAAGCCTAGATAAATTAAGTAGACTTTTCAGCTTTTACTCAATATCTTATACATCCTGCATACGTGTTTCTCATGCTCCGACACCTTTAATAAAATTCTATCTTCAATAGAGTGGAGAGTAGATAAAAGTCCCTTAATTAAAATTTTAGACTAATATTTTATGACATGACTCGATAGTTTCCTAAAACAATTTCATAGGAGTTAGTATTAAAAAAAATCTAGAAACATGTAGTTGGTTCAAAATTCAAAAAGCAAAAAAAAAAAAAACCGTTGTAGACCAGAGAAGTATTATTTCGGGGTGGAAAAGGAATTGGGAGAAGGAAATTTGAAAAAAGCAGAAGAGCGGGCGAGTGAAATGAGCTCGAAAGAAAGCTGCAGAAGCGAACTTCGCATCGCAATTCGACAACTCAGCGATCGCTGTCTCTATTCCGCTACCAAATGGTAGCTAAAACTTCCAAACCCTAATCCCAATCCCTCTCCTCTTTCAATATCTCATTTCTCTATCTCTTGATTTCAGGGCTTCGGAACAATTGGTAGGGATCGAGCAAGATCCATCCAAGTTCACTCCTTCCTATACCAGGTTTCAGCGTGGAAGCTCAAGTATTCGCCGCAAGTTCAGAACTCATGAGGTCATCGCTACGCCCCCTGCCGGTGTTTCCTATGTTGTTACGCCTGTTATGGAAGAGGATGCGCTTGTTGACACTGATTTTTACCTTTTGGCTAAATCTTACTTCGATTGCCGTGAGTATAAGAGAGCTGCTCATGTTCTTCGGGATCAAATTGGACGCAAATCCCTTTTCTTGCGATGCTATGCTCTCTATCTGGTTTGTTTTCTTTTTCCTCCCTTCTCTCTGCTTTATCTGTGTAGCTACCACAATGGTTGAGTTTATCATGACAATTTACCTCCTTAGTGTTTGTATCTTCGTTTATCTGGTTTCTATCTTGAAGTTTGTAATTTAACTATTACAAACTTTACTAAGGATGTGATGATTATGTGAAGGTAGCGGAGGGTAAACATGACATTTATGCATGTGTTTAATTCAATTTTTGTGGGATAGTCTGTTTTGGGTTTGAGGATGTTTCTGCTTATCTGCTAAATAGGCTTTGCTTTTAATTATGCTGGTTTTGTTGGATTCCCTTTTTGAGGTATTTTGACATCTTGTCCCAAAATTGGGATAGCAGGATGACTGTTATTTGATGTATTTAGAAATTATTGTACGCGTAATACTAGTTAGCACATACTTGCTGAAAAATGAAACAAGTTACTCAAAAGCCCTATGTGCTGTGATAGTGCCTCAAAAATGCAAAAAGCTCCTGCAAATGTGGCCACCATGGCCTCTACCCAACTCTAGGATGCTACGACATGTGTGGGGGCGGCCACCCACCATGACACCGCTGCTGCTATTGACAACATAGGATTTATTGTATAATATTTGCTTTTCTGATTAAAACTAAATTTTTGTAATTGTTGAAGTTGGGGTGTTACAAAGTTTACTAACATATAGCAGTCTATGTTGTCTCTTACTCCTTTATTTGATTTGAATTGGGTAAGAGTTATGATCAACAGAGCCCACCAACTGACATGTTATCTCTTCATGGTTACCTCGTGTTATGTATAAGACGAGTGTCTCAGTTCTCAATAATGAATGACTAGGGTATATATTTCAAAATGTGATTCAATTTGCTAGGTATCTCAACAATGTAAGATATGTTAAGTGTAAGATGTGTGTCTCAAGTCTCAACAATGCATGTCTAGGGTATTTATTTCAAAATGTGATTCAATTTGCTATGCTATTGCTGCTTTTAAATTAAGAAAGTACATGACTGGAATAAATATTCTTGTTTGAGCTATCTTTTAAATTTGATAGTTGTTGTTGGAAAGTAGGTTGGAAAATGTAATTACTGTTCAGAGAGATCAGGTATGCTTATATTAAATGTCACAACACAACCCAATATAAGTTAAAACTCGGGCTGTTGACCTCAAAGCTGGGGTTTCTAATAAATGTATCCTATTAACATTTTGATTAAACGGATGTCCGTTAAGTTGTGTATGTAATGTGACAATAATAGAGCATACGGGTATGATTGGATGGAAGATTTTGGAGGGGAGGGGAGAGCACTCAAGTATTTTTAAATAAATTAAATGTGATTGAAGTATTATACGATCTTTTATCATGTTGTTCTTTCTACATTTTTAAAATATGAATTATATATCAAAATATAGACTTACCCTTAGTCCTCCAAAACTCAACTCCCAAACTCAGAAAGTAGGTATATGTATCAGTTTAACAAGCCTTTATGCATTACCTTGTAAGAAGAATAAGAGAAAACTTTATACCAGAAGCAAAAAAAGAAAATTAAGAATGAGAGATTAAAAGTATATATGCATGTTAAAACCTCTTTTTAGTTATTTTTGAACTATTGCTGTTTGCTACAGAAATATTGCATTTTTATTATGCAATATAAGAATCTAAACCCAATACCAAACTCAGTAATTTCTTGTTGTTACTTCTCTATTATTCATTTAGTGTGCTTTTTGTTTCCCAGACTGACTTCAGGTATTTCTCTAAGACATTTTCAGTTGTCATCTAAAATCGTTTTGAAGAGAAATTTTCTTTCCACCTAGTCTAATCATGCTATAGAATGTCATAATGTGTAGAATTTTTTAAATATATTTTATTCGATCTTAACAGAAACTGTAGTCATATTATATTCTTTCATGTCACTTTTTACTTTTCCCTTGACCTAATTAAAGATAATGCATTGAGCTCTGTCGCATGCTAGTAGCACAGACAACTAATCTGATGCAGTGCATTTTTCTTCTAAATTTATGTACATAACATCAGTTTGAAAAATAACTGAGTGTGTTTTGTTTTTGGAATTTCACATCAGTTTGAAAAATAACTGAGTGTTTTTTGTTTTTGGAATTTCACATGCTTATATCTTTTCTGAACTTCCTACAGGCGGGAGAAAAGCGAAAAGAGGAAGAGATGATAGAACTAGAGGGACCTCTGGGTAAGAGTAATGCCGGGAATCAGGAATTAGTTTCTTTAGAGAAGGAGTTATCTACACTTCGCAAGAATGGCACAATTGATCCCTTTTGTTTATACTTATATGGTATTATACTGAAACAGAAAGGCAATGAAAATTTGGCACGGACAGTTCTTGTGGAATCTGTAAATAGCTACCCTTGGAACTGGAATGCCTGGACTGAGCTGCAATCCTTATGCAATTCAGTTGATACCTTGAACAGTCTTACTCTTAGTAGTCATTGGATGAAGGAATTTTTTCTTGCCGGTGTATACCAAGAGTTAAGGATGCATAGTGAGTCTATGTTAAAATATGAATACCTACTTGGAACTTTTAGTTTTAGTAATTACATCCAAGCCCAAATTGCTAAAGTCCAGTACAGTTTGAAAGAATTTGATCAAGTTGAAGCTATATTTGAAGAACTGCAGAGGAATGATCCTTACAGAGTGGAAGACATGGATATGTACTCCAATGTGCTATATTCTAAGGAATGCTTTTCTGCTTTGAGTTACCTTGCCCATAGAGTATTCCTGACTGATAAATATAGACCTGAATCTTGTTGTATTATTGGAAATTATTACAGTTTAAAGGGGCAACATGAAAAAGCAGTTGTATATTTTAAGAGAGCCCTTAAACTGAACAAAAATTATCTCTCTGCTTGGACACTTATGGGTCATGAGTTTGTAGAGATGAAAAATACTCCTGCTGCTGTGGATGCCTATCGTCGGGCTGTTGATGTAGATCCGTGTGATTATCGTGCTTGGTATGGACTAGGACAAGCTTATGAGATGATGGGTATGCCTTTCTATGCGCTTCATTACTTCAAAAAATCTGTTTTCTTGCAGCCAACTGATTCTCGGTTGTGGATTGCTATGGCTCAATGCTATGAAACTGATCAGCTTCGCATGCTTGATGACGCAATAAAGTGTTATAAAAGGGCATCAGAATGTAATGATAGAGAAGCAATTGCTTTGCACCAACTAGCAAAGCTGCATTCAGAGATGGAACGCCCAGAAGAGGCAGCGTATTACTACAAAAAGGATTTAGAGAGAATGGAAAATGAAGAGCGTGAAGGACCTAACATGGTTGAGGCTTTGCTCTATCTTGCAAGTTATTATAAAACTCAGAAAAAATTTAAAGAAGCAGAGGTTTATTGTACTCGTCTTCTTGATTATACTGGCCCGGTGAGTCTATAATTGATCTACACTCAATTTATTTATTTATTTTATAATATCTACACTCTCAATTTGAATCAATTTCTTTGTACTAAATTATTCAATGATCAAAATCATTCTTTCAGGAGAAGGAGACAGCAAAAAATTTACTTAGAGTGATGCGATCCTCACAATCTAGTTTCGCTTCAACGGATGTTGATCACTTTCCTCCATAATGTCTTTTGATTAAACACTGGTTTTATGTGCCACATTTTTCAATTTTGGTTTAAATTCATTCTCATATTTTATGCTGCATCAGAACTAACGGCAAACATGAAAATGATAAGAATCATTCTCATACTTTAATGCATGCTTCTGTAGGTAAGCCTCATAGCACATTTAAGTCCAAAGTGGGGATGTGGTTTCCAAGAACATGAGTCAGGCAAAACATATCAGGGTCAAAACAGATGATGAGTAATTGTTCCATGTTTTTTATTTAAAAATAGTTGTAGAATAGGACAAAACAGTAGAAATTATTTCAATGACAGACTATCTAAAAGGCAAACGTATCTATTTATTAATTTCTTCTTTCCCTAACTCTCTCTAAAAACATTAAAAAAAAAAGTTTTACATTCATTATGCATAAATATAATATTACATTTTATTGTACTATTTTTTATATATGTAATATGCAATACAGAGAGTACTAAATTTTATATTTTTGTGTTGTCTATTGTGTCGAACAATATGCAAGACATGTGTTGTCATTCAAACACTTGTTTGTGTGTCCTCCATGTACCGTGTCACTGTATCAAGCATTTGTAATGTGTGAGTTTGAGTCATGAATGAAAAAATAAATTCACCATGTATATTATTTGGATTTGAGTCCGATGTTCATCCGAAAGTATTTTTAACGTGAAATTTTTGAAGCTACCTTCTGTAGCTTTGGCAATTACGGTTGGTGCCCTTTTAACGCCGTTTCAAACGATTTATGTGTTTTTCTTTTACTTTTTACATTTCAGTATTTTTTTTAAAGCACTGCAAGATTGAATTTGAGAGCGGATGTGTATTATTGATGATGATCTTGTTGACATATAAGTAATATAATTTACTCATAATATTTCACAAAGTCGTTTAACTAAATTTAATATTTCGTTTTAGTTCTTTAATTAAAAAAACTTTACACTTTGATCCCTTAAAAACTGTTCAGTTAATATTGTTGGTCTCTGTTAATTTTTCTGAAAAAATGTTAATTTTGTCAAGGTAATGTGACAACTAAAAATTCGACACAATTATTTATTTAAAAATTTGATATTTTATTTAAAAATACAAACATAAGAAAACAAAATACAAACACTTATATGGAAAAATAACAACCTAAATACAAAATCAATTTTAGATGAGAAAATTAGATACAAAACCAGATCTACAACATCAAATTTAAGCGCAAACAGTTTTAATAACTGATCCAAACGCAGTCGAACATTAGAATCTAAGTATAAGGCTAAGTCATTGGTATTGATAAGAAAAGGATTCATGCAAATATGGAGACATTTTGCAAATAAGTAACACTTAACTAATTGACCATATCAATTAAACTAAATTTTTAAATCGACACTTATGTAAGAAATCGTAACTGAGATTTTTAAGATTATGAATCATTATTCCAGTTCATCGAAATCCTCTGGATAAACAACAAAGTAAAGGTGTGAAATGTTAATAAATCATGTCAATGATGCATAAACAAGTAAATAATAAATTCTTATCGAATTAAGAAGAAGAAAAAGTAGAGGCGGCAAAATAAATGAATTAAATTAATATAAATTTGATTGTTAATTAATAGATCAAAATAATTCATTAATTTATTAACAATTTATTAAATTTTTTTTAAGAGTAAAATTCATTCATTAATATATTATTAGTAGATAGATTCCATTCATCCAAAAATTTATATATTTAAAAAAATACTTTTTTTTTATTTCAAAAAAAATATCTTTTTTCCTGAAAAATTAATTTTTTGTTTTCCAAAAAAAATATTTTTTTATTTAAAAAAAATAATCGATTTTTTTTGGAATTTTTTTAATTTCTGGGAAAATTTGTTTTTTTTTGTATTTTTGGAGAAATTCATCTTTCTTTTTTTCGAAAAAAAAAACCCGGTTTTTTTTGCATTTTTCAAAAAAAAGAGATTTTTTTATATTTTTCAGAAAAAAAATGATTTTTTTTTGGAAATGTATCAATTTTTTTTGTATTTTTGAAAAAAAATAATTTAAAAAGAAATCTTTTTTATTGAAAAATTTATTATTTTATAATTTTTTAAATCGATATGATAGAGATAATAAATTAACTTATTTTTTATATGGTGGATAGATTGGATGAATTTTTTTTTTATGGATAAATTTTGTCTTAATAAATTCAATTGTCACCTCTAAAAAAAGATGTGCCTCTTTCAACACATTTAAGAATATTTTCCTAATCTTAACCGCTGTGATGGCATTCTTGTGTCCAATATCCTCTTAACCACATTGCCTACAAAAGAATCAAAACAAAAGGAGCAACATCCAACGAGGAGATAAGTGTTTGGAAACCTTCGTTAATAAGCAACAAAAACTATTATCATAACATGAAGAAGTTCAATCAAAAAATAATTATAGCAATTAGCATAGATCCAATCCAACAATAAAAGAAAACATAAATAAACTCAGCATACCTCTAAAAAAACATTTAAAAAATCAATAATTGAAAATGAGAAATCAACAAAATTGATGAATAAAATAGTGAAATTAAACTTAAAATCATAACCAACAAACGAATCTAAAAACAACTAAACACGTGATTGAACTAAATTGAAGTTTAGATCATAGATAAACAAGTTAAGAAGATGAATCTTATTGTCTAAGATCCTTGAGTTGTTGAACCCTTGTGAAGCATATTTTCTTGCATATGAAGCTCATTTGCTTGTATTTGATCTTTCATCCACTGAACATCCCCATTCCTTGTTGCTAACAAACCATTACCGTTACTAGACTTGAACAAAGAAGAAAAAAAAAACAGTGGCCACCGAAATAGTGGTCGAAGATTGTGAAGGGCATGAGTAAGAAGAGAGTGAGGATAACAAAAAGAAAAAGAAAAACAGTGATCGTCGAAACAGTTAGAGATGAAATTAGAGTTCAGGTGGATATTTTAGGTGTTTTAAAAAAAATAAAAATTAAAAGTTAACATAAAAAACAGGTAAGATAATAATGTCAAATAGATTGCCACGTCAGCAAAATTTAATTATTTTTCACAAAATTTGACGAAAAAGACTAATTTGGATAACAATGTGTTTTTAAGGGACTAACATGTGTGAGGACAAACCCTCATGTAATATATGGTCTTGAGTTTCGATGATGACAAAACGCAACTATGGATGAATCATGTTTATCGACTCTACATCTACAAGACAAATGCAATATTTCACCTCTCATATCCTTCTTATATCCTTCTAACTTGGCATATTCAATTTAATATATATGGAAGATCACTGGTTATGTTTAGATGCATTAAAATCACAAAGATATGCATTTTTACAGATTTGCAGGCTTTGAGTCGACCACAGGTCGACACATGAAGCAGTACAATCTCTCACTGGTCGGCGCACGCTGACCTATGGTCGACCACAGGGTCAGCGCATGAATTTGAGTAATTTTAGTTTAAGCAATTCCATCAAAATTTGCATTGAATTGAGTAAGTGATTTTCACTGTTTTGAACTCTAGTACAATAATAGATTGTACAAGGAATTTGGAGTTACTTACTCAAGTCAAAATTCACTTGGAGTGTCTCGCACACCAAGTGTTTGATAAATTGCCTAAACCAAAATTCACTTGAATCATTTGCATATTTTGTGGTAATTTTGGAGCATTGGAACTAGTCCTACTTATTAGTGGTAAAATCAATTGATTAGTGTGACTAGTGTGTTGAATCTAATTTTTGCTCATTATCACTTCCATAAGGCTAGACGCATATCCGGTCTTCTAATAACAATTCGTTTTAGACGGTAATTTTTTCACGGCCGCTTTCGCAAAACAAATTTTTTAAAACCAATTTTTAATTGGTAGCGCCGACTGATTTTTTAATTGGGATCTATTCAACCCCCTTCTAGATCCAAGCCATCATCTAACAAGTGGTATCAGGAGCACCGGTTCACTCCGTGCTTCAAATATAACTTTGATTGAAAATGACAAACGAACCTAAAGGGGCTTATAATAGAGCTCCCATTTTTAATGGAAAAAATCACAGTTATTGGAAGGATTGTAAGCGGGTGCACATAAATTCCATAGATAGAAAAGTATTGAATGTTATTATCAATGGTCCAATGGAAATAACCATGACCAATGAAAATAATGAGATTGTGCCTAAGCCCGAAGCATAATGGACTTATGATGATGAAAAGAAGTATAACTATGATTGGAAAGTCAAGAATATTTTGATCTTCTCATTAGGAGTTGATAAACATTATCGGGTTTCTCATTGTCTTATGGCAAAAGCTATGTGGGACTCATTACAAGTCGCCCATGAAGGGACTAATGATGTTAAGCTAGCTATAATCAACACACTAACACAAGAGTTTGATCTCTTTTACATGGAGCAAGGAGAAACCATTGCGGACATGCAAAAGAGATTTACTCATCTCATCAATAGATTGCATTCACTAGGTAGGCCAGTGGCCAATGATGTTGCTACTAACAAAATTTTGATATGTCTTAACAGGGAATGGCAGCCGAAGGTGACCGCCATCAAGGAAGCAAACGATCTCACCATTTTGGACCTAACAACATTATTTGGAAAGCTGCAAGAGCACGAACAAGTGCTCCTAAGCATATACCAACATGAAAAGAAAGAAAAGAAGGAAAAAACAAAGATAGTTGAAAAGAAATCTATTGCTCTTAAGACTTCCTCCTCAAAGTCTAAATCTAAGGAGCAAAGTGATTATTCATCAAGTGACGATGAAGAAGATGACAAGAGTGAGGATACGGGGCTGTTCGTAAAGCGCTATAATCGCTACGTGTGAGAAAGAATGACATCCAACATTCCGAGAAGAACTTTGTCAACTTCCGAAAGCAATCTAGGAACTCTAGAAATGACGACACAAAAGGGAATAAAACTAGAGGATCGTGCTACAAATGTGGAAAGACCGGTCATTATAAACCGGATTGTCCTTTGAACAAAAAAGGCAAAGAAAAGGAATCTAATAAATCA